TTTGATTGACTCAAATCCATCCAGGCCAGAGAGCAAATGATCTGATGCAGCTTCTTTCTCTTTTCAACCAAAATTAGGATTGTAGATTAGTGATTATATGAAGTTGTATGCTAGTACTTTTCTGTAGTTTTTCCTCTGTAGTACTAGTATTCCTTGACGATAAAAAAACAACCTATTAACTGTAAGTCAGAACCCATGGATCACCAAAAGCTCTTGCTTTTGAGACTTGTTAACATCCTTTTTTTTCAAAATAATTAATGCTACCATCTGATATTTCAGGAAGACCATGGACTTTAGTTAAGAATAAGGTTCGAAAAGATTATCCCACTGTTCAGTTAACCGCATGGAAGGTATGGGAAGTAAATTTTGTTATCATATCATACACCATCCAATTGCATTCCCAGTTTGTAATGCTATAGCCACGATCTTCATAACTTGCAGTTTTGGCCCATAGTTGGTTGGATAAACTATCAGTACATGCCACTGCAGTTCCGAGTTTTGTTCCACAGCTTTGTTGCCTCATGCTGGTGAGCTCTTAAATCCAGCTGTGCTCTACTGATTATAAATTACTATGAATGTGAAGTGCTAGACTGCGAAAATCACATCTAAAATTTTAATGTTTGCAAAGAAACCACTATAGAGGCCTATGAAAACAACCATGTTTTGTCATTCATGATATGGGCTGCAATTATGTATTATGTGGAAAGGTCAACATTTAATATCAAATAACCTTGAAATGAAAAGGGTTTCTTTTTTTCTTTTTCTTTTTTTTTTCTGACAAAACTGATTATATATATATATATATTCTTATGATGCAGTTACCAAAAATGTAAATGGTATTGCTTGAATACGTTCTAATAAAAGAGTGAACGTACAAACTAGAGACACAACCAAATTAAAGTGTTTCCAGAAAACTTGTTTCAGATGTTTTCTATAGAAACTTTCTTTTGGCTAGCAAAAGGTATGGTACCTGTGAAAGATAGTAAATTTTGCCTTCTCTTTTTTTGGTTGTTTCAAGATTACCTTTTGCTGATTTGATTATTTATGCTTCGTATCACTTGCTACTATGCAATACCTCTGGTTTACTTCCGTATTAATGCTTTTTTTTCTGTTGTGCTGGTTAACTTCAGGGCTATTTTCCTTAACCTCAAAGCAAGATCAGCCGTGATTAAAAGTGCTTAGGCATATCTTCATATCATATTTACTTAAACAACTTGTTTAATTCAAGCTTGTATGATAGGCTTGTCATTCTAATGTCAAGATTCCTGGCCAGAAGCCAAAGTAGGTTTGTTTACTGTGTGTAGGATTTATACACTTTAATTTTCCCTAGCAAACCATGTAGTAACATATTAAAGGCATCCCTATCTTTTCCTAACTTGACCCAAGATTTAAATTTATGTTTTGTTGTTCTCTATAGAATGGAATGTTGAATATGCATGTATGTTAAACTCATAACATCCCTTGAGATGTGTTATGGTTATGGCTACCAATTACTCTTGTTATGATTATTAAAATTGTTAATTTTTTTATTTTAATTTAATTGTTAAAAATAATTAATAATTAATATTTATTATTTAATATATTAAAATTAATTTATGAGTTAATATTTTTAAATGTTATAATAAAAAATTATAAATTAAATTAACAATCTTAACAAAATTGTTGGTGGTCCTAACCTTGTCCTGCGAATGCATGATAGGTGGATGCCCACGATTTTCAAGCGTGTAACCTTGGCTAATAACGTGCAAGAAAGTCATAACACAACTGTTCACTATTAGAACACAAGTAAGTGCCCCATTAATTGTAGTTTAGTAAAAAATCAGAAAAGTCATGGTGTAAGTCTTTGCAGATCTCCTGCTCGTCATGAATGAGGTGGCTGGGAAGTGACATTCCATTCCTTGTATTAGGTGCAGTAGTTCCTTTAAAAAAAAAGTAAAAATGGAGGAGTAAACGGTACACCACTCTAGAAAAAATGATATTTAGAGAGATTTGTTTTTCAAGATGATTGATGAAAGTTTTTTAATTAATTTTTTAAATATTAATTAAGAATTAAATTTTTAGATGTTATGAAGTTAATAATAATAATAATAATAATAATAATAATAATAATAAAACCTCGGACCTAGAGATGGATATAGAGGTGATAGGTGGATGCTCACGATCTTCAAGCATATAAGCTTGGCCTATAACGTGCAAGAAAGTCATAACACAACTGTTCACTATTAGAACACAAGTAAGTGCCCCATTAATTGTAGTTTAGTAAAAAATCAGAAAAGTCATGGTGTAAGTCTTTGCAGATCTCCTGCTCGTCATGAATGAGGTGGCTGGGAAGTGACATTCCATTCCTTGTATTAGGTGCAGTAGTTCCTTTAAAAAAAAAGTAAAAATGGAGGAGTAAACGGTACACCACTCTAGAAAAAATGATATTTAGAGAGATTTGTTTTTCAAGATGATTGATGAAAGTTTTTTAATTAATTTTTTAAACGAAAATGGATTATCTTAATGACTAGTATTGTGAGAATTGAGCAGTGATTGTGAGAATTGAGCAGTGAGATTATGGATGTGAAAGGATTGTCAAGTTGACCAGTTGACCGTAGACTTGATCAAATATCTAAATTATCCCTTGTATGTAACATTGAATTATTTAAATAATAAGTAATTTTTCAAAAAAAAAATTTATTCTTGTTAAACTATTTGCATACACTTATCAGACTTACTAATAACCTTCTTAATCTCACTGATGTACCAAAAAAAAAAAATAACCTTCTTAATTAAATTACAATACACACCTTATTTTCCTATTAAACTCAATTTACTGAAAATATGAAAAATTTCTCTTTCATTGGTTAACATTTGGTAGGAAAAGAAAACCCCATCAAATTTGGCCGTGAATACTGATGAAATTAAGAATTTTAAAGGGATATTACACTAAAAAAAAAAAACTCACATTTATCACCGAAATTATTTGTCATTAAATCTTTATTTTTTACCATAAATTATAATTGATGATAAAATTTAGATAGTTAATAAAACTTTTATAATCAATGCTCTTAATTAATTCAAGTAGCTGTTTGTAAGCAATACATGTCTTCTAACGTTTGATGAATGATTGGTAACTTTATTATTATAAATAAATTATAATCAAAAGCTGAGAAAGCATATCGACCCAACATGATATTAGCTGTTGGAGAATCATCACTTTGTATTGTATAGAATTAAGACAAACATAATACATTTTATTTGTAACCTTGGAATCTCACTGTCTAATTCTTCTTAATAAAATTATACTCCACATATATAAAAGTAAATCGTTGAAAACGTTTCTTGACAATTTTTGTTTACAACAAAACAATATAACGTGGTAATCATTCCAAACAAAATTACAAATAAGTTCAAACGCAACATAGTGCCTTAGGTCATTTAATGCACAATAATAAACATGAATTAGTATCTTCTATTTACTTTGATAGTCTAATACAATTCTTTCCTTATTAAAAAAAATAAATTTTTTATTTTGCAGTTTAAATAGTAAAATAAAAAAAAAATTTTAACATATAAACCACACGATTAAAGGTATTTTTTTGTAATAAATTTATATGAAAAAAATATAAAAATAGACGTTAATTTTAAAATCAATATCACATGAATAAACTTAATTATATGATCGATAAATTAAATATTACTCTTGATTTTTGCAATATTTTTAACATGTGCTCTTAAATTACAAGTTAAAAAAATCCAAATAAAAATTATTAAACGAAAAAATAATATTCAATATTAAAATCTCCGCTTCATTTAATAATTTATATTTTACAATTCAAATTATATTCAACTATACAACACTTACTGTACAACACTTTTTCGATAGGAATGGATTGTTTCTCCCAGCTTAGATCAAAACACACAACTACACAAGAAAGTGGGCGCCTACTACCCAAGTATTCATCAATTAATCACTCTTATGTTACTCCATTCAAATAAAAACGCAATATTACCCAACACGTTCAAGCTTAATGCACGGTCGTGGACGTAATACATAGCAAAGTATTTAATCCAATAATCCCACCTTCGCATAAGAATCAAATTAAACCTCCATATTTCCAAGCGGACGTTTCAAGCATCGAAGTCAAGCCTTTAAGTTTCAAAACTGATATTCCAAGAACAATAAGAGACAGCTATTTACCATTATACAACCCAAATTCATCACACAAATATATATAGATACAATATACGTACCAAACAAGAAAAAAGATCGAAATTTTACGAATGGAAGCATGCACGTTTACCCTTCAACCTTCACAAAAACAACATCGATCTCATGCTTCATGCAAAATCAAGAAACAAGAACATTCACATTAAAGAAAAAGGCCAAAACATCAATTAATATACTAACATTCTCATGAAACAAGAGATAAAATCTCTGTTCAGGGATTCCTTTCTGTTTTCTTCTAAACATGAGACTCACCACCTTCGGACGATTATCCAGATGCAACTTCTGTTTGGTGGAATCCACTTCACATCTGTACCCAACGGGCAAGTTGGGTAGGGTTGACAATTCCAGGGATGTGGGCCTCCTTTGACTTCAAAATATTGGCCACCTCAGCGTAACTCTGGTGCTCTTTCTTGGGGCTCGGCTCTGTGGCTTCCGGCTTCACCCTCCTCAACTCGGCTGACGCGACGCCGGCTAGTGGAACCATTCCCGCTCTGGCTGGATCATACTTCTGACCAAACAGCGTTCCCTTGGTCAAGAACTCGTACGCCATGTACCCGGCTAGGAGCCGATTAGAACAAACAGGAAGGGCCGCGGCAGCCGCTTTCGTAGCCGGCGGCTGAGCTGTAGCCGACGGGTTGCAGTTGTAGGAATAAAACGCCTCTCTTTCTTTTCGCTTTCTTGAACCTCCAGGTGTCATAATCCAACGATGATGATGACTCATTTTTCTCTTAGGGGCCCACAGTTTGCCACGTTGGCAAGAAGACAAAGAGGGTAGGACCGTCAATTGCACGGTAATTGAGGGACAGAGATGTCAAATGAGAAATTTGATTTTTCCCCTTTTTTGGGTAGAAGTGTCAAATCATCTTTATCGAGTGGTGAGCAAAAATGTCCAGATGGTGGTTCCGTATTGAAATAAGAAAAAGGTTAAATAAGGATAAAACCCAAAAAAATAAAATAAAAATAAAATACTATTAAATAGCAAAAAAAATAATTTTTTAAAAAGAAGAAACTGATTGTTAGATAGAAAAATGAAGAAATGGAATCGGATTTAACGGCTGGGCGCTGAATGGCTGAACGTAACGAGGCAGTTCTGATCTAGTCGTACACGCGTCGGTTAGGGGTGAAGGCAGCGGCGGGCGGCGGACGGCGGAGGAGAGAGACAGCGAGATTTGGATTGGCGAACTGAGAGTGGAAGAGATGGGGAGGAAAAGGGAAAGGAGGAGAGACGGAGAGGAAAGAGAGAATTGAGAGAGAGAACGGCGTGACTGAATAATTTAAATGTTGGATATTGGAAGATGACCCCTGGTATTTGGGGAAAATATCGAGAATGCCACGAAGGGGTTATTGTTATCGTGATGACTAAAATGTCCCTTGGATTTTGCTAATTTCGCTCTGTTGTCCCTTTCGAAATTTTCTTATGGGGTTGGCCAAATTGCAGAGATTACCCGCTTCTTTATATATATATATTTTTAGGTGTCATGATGGGTTTAGGTTGTATAGGGATAGATGCTCACCCTCTTTCTAAACCTCTTTCTACTTAATTTAGGATTTTAATTTTTTTAAACAGTAATAAAATTGTATAAGAAAACACATCATAATTTTAAAATTAATAAAATTTTAATTGAATGTTTCAAAATTTAAAATTTTAATTATTTGAAACGTCCATAATGACTTCAATTTTCTATATGTTATATATTGTAGTTTATCTAAAAGAAAGTCAGCTGAGTTGGGGAAATCTCTGATCTAGAACCTGAATTAAAACCCAGTTGAGTTTGGTTTAAGTTTAATTAAGTTAAAAACTTTATTAGCTAATATATACCTGACATATGTTTACGTTCAAAGAAAATTAAAAAAAAAAAAGAAGAAGAAAATGTTCTTGTGATCTAATAGTTTTTTCTTTTTACGAATTTCTCATATTAATTTAATAATGTAAAATTTGAGTTCTATCATCAATGTTCAAAAATATATATATAATTATATTATAATATTAATTAATATTATAATTAAATTAATTAAAAATTCATTCTCTTCTTCCCCCTCACCTCAATTTTCTTGAAAACATACTGTTGCTTTGGTACCCTAAATTAAAAAAGACTCTCACTTCTTTTTTTTTTATCTCTCTATGTGCTTGTGTTTGACATATGGTTGTAATTTTTTATCTTCTAAAACTAAAAAAGGATCAAATATTAAAATTTGAAGATGAATCATTAAGCTATCAAAACTAATTTTACAAGATAAAATTTTCTAATTCCATTCGGTCTAATTTGATTGTCAAACTTCATTAATTTATATTTACTAAAAAAATTTATGTTTTTATTTTCACTTTTATTTATAAATAAATTAAAAAATTCTACCATTACCTATTTTCAAAAATTAAAAAAAAATTCTAACTTATTTTTACCTCTTTTAAAATAAAAATAGAATTAAAATACTATAATATTTATTAATAATATCTTATATCTTACTTAAATAAAAAATAAAGCAATTAAATTAAATCATGTTATTTAAAAAATGAGATGACTAAAGAATATTTAAGTAGATGCCTTAGCCTTATTGCCTAGTGTTGGTAAATAAAATTTGACTTTTGTTAAAAAAATAAAAATGGTAGCTCTTGGAATACTTCCGAAGGAGAAAAGAAATGAAAAGTACATTAGAGGGAATGGAAACAAAAAAGAAACGAATCGTCAGAAGATATGGGCCAGCATGAGCCCAATAAAAGATTTTGAAAGTTGAAACTTTATTCCCTGTGAGGGCTGACTCGGGATAAAAAAAAAGACCTATGGGCGCGTCGGCATAAAAAAAAAAAAACTTTTCCTCATTAGGAAAGTTTAAGGATATTTTAAAATTTTTATATCTCAACATTACAAAAATAAAAGGTAAATTTTTAAATTTTATTTTTGTTAACATAATTTTTAATAAGCAAAATTTATCTTGGGTTTTTTTAAGAGTGAATCAATATATTCTTTTCTCAGTAATAGTTATAGAAAAATATAATATTAAATTTAAATTATATACATAGTATTAATATTAAAAACAAAATTAATTTTTATATTTTTTTATGTAAATTAATAAAAAAATATGTGCAATTAATGCTCTTGAAGATAGGTTAAACAATCCCATCTTTTCTTTCACGTTTTTTTGTAGAGAAAATTTTCCTCCAACTTCTCGATACAGACCTACAGTGTGATTTTTTTCTAACTTTTTTAATAATAATTTTTTACTAAACATGAAAAAAATTAACAATTTAATAAAATTTTAATAAAATTTATCCAATTTTTTATACAATAATTTATAACTTTCCATCAAGTATTTTTCTCAATCACTGTTCTGATAATATTAATTTTTAGTCAAACAAATCCATATATTCTTACCAAATATCACAAATTATTTGATGAGGAGGAATCCGTGGAATAAAACCTTTCCCCACGTTCAAAAAGAAAAAGATATAGAATCAAGGTGTGGACCATTAACCATTGTCATCTAAATATATGGCTGCTTGCTATTTACCTTAGTAATAAGAGTTTACATCTTAAAAACGTTAATATTTGCAAATGAACACTTTAACTAAACAAGAGTACTAGACTCTTTAAGTATTAATAATTTTTTTTAAAATAAAAATTTTAAATTCAAATTATAATAACATTGGATAGAGTTAAATAATAATAATAATAATAAGGTTTTTTCATCCTCTCAAAATAGAAAAGGAAAAAAAAAATGGTGTGCACGAAGTTATGAACCCACAATTTGATAATTTGAATGTCTACTTTTGGTGCTCTTGAAAAACACCATTGTGGGTGTAATTAAGGAGCACCTATTTTGGGTCTAATGGGTTGATGGAAGGATTTAAGAGCCTTTCCATTGCTTCTCTTCTCCTCTTGGAGAGTCTCCTCCTACATTGGAGGAGTCTCCGTTGGGAGATGGTCTTCTTTAATTTTTTTTAATTGTTGTTTTTTTAGAGATGAATTTCAGGATGTTGGTTGAATAATAATGTTATTACAACTTTTAGGAGAGTCTGTTATAAATTTCAACATTAAGTGAGGAGTTTTAACTTTTAACTAAAATCTGAAAACAATAAAATAAAATTTCAATATGTGAATTAAATAAAATAATATAAATAATGATGATGTGGCATTTGTGAGAGATTCTCAATTTGAGATAAATAAAATAATATAAATAATGGAGGTATGGTATTTGCAGGAGACCCTCAATTTGAGATGCTATAAATATAATAATGCCATGTTCAGCTGATCAGGAAAAAAAAAAAAAAAAGCAACGTTCAGTTATGACCCTAAAAAATATGAAGGACTGAACTGAACATCTTTACAAAGTTTAAGAACTTGTGGCATAAAAGAACACAAACAGATTACAGAATGCAATTACGAGCTAGGCCCAGCAGAAACGTGGGCTCAGTGTAGAAAAAGTGGGCTGACCCACAATTGGAATCCAACCGATTCCACATCCATCCTGGCATCTCCGTTTGAATGAGACAGTTCCTCCTCAAACAAAGGCGGCAGTGGCGGTGGACGGCGTTTTCCAGATGCTCATGATTATGCTGTTTTTTTTTTTTTTTACCAGGTAGATGGTTAGGAAGTTAGTAGAATTAGTTTGTTAGCAACTGGAATTTTTTCAGGAAAGTGAACGTTCCACCCCTCATTTGAGGCGCGCGACTATTAGGTTACAAGTTGGTGGAGTTCACGGCGGTGGCAGAGCTCGAAACCCTGACCTCTGCCTCACCCAAGCCCTAAAACTTGGGGGCCAACCAATTGAGCCACAAGCCCGGTTGGCCATGATTATGCTGTTTTAGAGGAAAGCAGAAAGGCTGAAAAAATAAGAAGCAAAGTACCGGTGTGAAGTAGCTTTTTCATGCAGTCACGAGACAAAACCGAACCTTTAGCTTCTCACTTTATAAAATTGATAAATTTTAACTTTTACCTTTTAACTTTATAATATGATATTTTCAACTATTTATTTTTGATAGGTTTTAACTCTTCACTTTAAAAAATTGATAGGTTTTAACATCTCACCTTATATTATAACACTTTTAGTCCTTTATCTATATGAATTGAAAAAAATAACTTTCACTTAACATCATATTATAATATTCTGTTAATTCTATTAGATGACTATTAGTTCTATTAATTAACTGTTAACATCCGTTAGCATTTCGTTAATGGTACTAACAAATAAAATTGAATTTAAATTTCATGTTTTCTATAATAGAATGCTAACGAATGTTAACTGTCAACTAACAGAACTAATAGAACATTATAACCTGATATTAGATAATGGTTATTTTCTTCAATTCGTATAAGTGAAACGCTAAAAATGTCTTCAATTCGTATAAGTGAAACGCTAAAAATGTCTTCAATTCATATAAGTGAAATGCTAAAAATGTCATAATATAAGGTGAGAGATTAAAATCTATCAACTTTGTAAGGTATGGGGCTAAAACCTACTAATTTTGTAAGGTAAAATATTAAAAGTGTCATATTATAAAGTGATGGGTTATAATCTATTAATTTTATAAGGTGAGGGGCTCCATAACCTACCAATTTTATAAAGTAAGGCGTTTAATGTTGGTTTTTGCCCAGTCTTGAGGTATCTTGATTCTCGAATGTTACCTGTCACCTACTACAAACAAAATTGATAAAATGCTTATTTTTGAGGCCGTGTGATAGAGAATATCCGTTACAATTGTACAATATAAATTATTAGATATATAAAGTACAAAGGTGTACCTCTTATTTAAGCACTTATATTTTGTAAATATCCTTATAAAAATATATATATTTGGAATGAGAAAAACAAAAATATTATTAATGAACAAGGAATGCATAAACATCTATTAACTTTGATTTTGTTTTCCCCGTCTAAAACATCAATCCCAGCATAAAATTACAACTAACATTAATTATCTTTTTTTTTTTTTTCTTAACTTGTTTGAGGGACAATATTTTTTAAACGATTTCGGGGTAATCTTTTTATATAATGTTATCTATCATTTAAATGAATTAATGAATGATTTTTTTTATTCATTCGAAATTTATAATATTAAATGCATCAATTCATTTAATTACGTATAAAAGTTATATAAAAAAATAATAAAAAAATTATTCCTAAATTATTGCTCAAAATTATTACTAAACTACTTCAATTGTTTGCTTTCAATTTGATTTTTACACTTTACATTTCACATTTAATTTTAGAAGATACTGTATTTATATATTATGAAAACATACACGGAAAGTGTCAAAAAATTATTTCTCATCAAGATTTCTTCGATTAAATTCACGCGTTCCCTTTCTCATATACTGCTTTTGCTTTGGTTTGGTTGCACCAATCACATTAATTTGGCAACTAACACAATCAATACACCATCTTTGAGGTGATCCTCATTGCTATGCAATTATTGAATTGATAGGTCCTAATCCATGCTTAGCCGTCGGTGTTGCAGAAATTTGCAGAATACCGAAATTCGCAGCAGCTAGCACTTTCAAAATGGGTTCATCATTATGGATTGATAATGCATGCTAGCTGTATCAGCTTTTTAAATCTCCAATTTTACCTATGAATCATAATGTTTCCTACTTATATCTTATATATATATATATATATTTTTTTTATAATTAATGCTTTTTTATAATTTTTATTTTTAATTAATACTTTATATAATTTAAAATTTATAAAAAAATTTAAATTATCAACAAAATTAAGGTATAAATAAAAAATTTGATAATTAATTTCTAAGTTTTTTACAAATTTTAAATCATAAAAAGGTATTAATAAAAAAAAAATTTTAAGAATATTGAATAAGAAAAAAAATATTGTACAGGGTATAAATATATGAAGTTTGACCTTTTATATATATAATATATATATACATGCGATTTTTTTGGAAGTTTTTTAGTTTCTGCTTTACTTGGTTCTCATTTCTCAACCATAATAGTTTGCTTCCGTCCTGTCAAAATAATCATTCACTAATCGAATGGTTATAAAGGAGTGGTGAATTGTGACAATCATCAATTGGATGATCAGTCAGTGGCAGAACCCTACCATTTCCTTTCGTATAAACTTATGCTACTTTTGCATTAAATTGCTGGGACTGCCAAACCTGATGCATGTGATCCTGTTCATAGGTGAGAACTGGGGGGTTAGTAAAGAAACTAACTTTGCTTTGTGTAATTGCCTGTGTGAATTTACTCTTCAAAAGCGACCATAAGTAATTGCTAATGGGGCGGTAAATAGGGGTGGAAGCCAAAAGGTGGAAGTGTTAAGTAGTCTTAGAACTTGCTTTCTTCAGTTTCTGATTATCCCCTGTTCGTGTAATTTGGCACAGGGATCTTTGATTCTTTTCTTGTTATGATATATGGTAGTAGTGGGAGAGTGTCTCAGCTTTCAGCTACTAGCCCCATGCATTTACATGTGCAATTGAAAAAGATTGATAGGCATTAATTGATGTGCAATAAATTCTTCATCTACCCGCCACATGGATGGTGCAACAACCAATTACTTGGCTCTGAATTCTCAATGGGAATTTCCTAGTACGTTCTATCTTTATCTTTTCTTCCCGCCAATTTCTTGGTTCAGCTGAAAAACTGAACCGATGTGCAAAGTGCGAGACAATTTGCTTTTGGTCCTGATATTCACCAAGCAGTACCTCCTCTAGAACCAACCATACCTTAATGTTGGATGTGATCACTTCTATAACATTTTTGTTCCTCAAAAAGTCCCAGTACTGAGACCATTGGGACGAATATAATTATTTATCTATCTTAATATCTCTGTCAAAATTTGACTGGACACTTAATTGAATAGTACTATGTTCTATCCACAAAAAAAAAGGGGGGGTCTACTATTTTTTCATTTTGCTTGGTGGAATTTTAATTTCTGCAACTCAACAGTCTCTATTGGGTTGAGTTTCTCTGCAGCTAGACAGCTACTTGTTTACCATACATAATGCCCTATAGAAGCTGTGGTCCTGGTATAAAATCAATGCCCTGGCTCTAGTAGCTCCTGGTATGCAAATGGAACCAAAATTTACTTCATGCATTATTATTGGGAATTAGATACTGCTGACCATAAAATGCCGACTCCTTTTCCTCAGATTAGGAACTGAGAACCTCCTTTTTGGACCATGGCCACCTCAGGGGAAATAGCGTTTGGCGTTAAAAGTTCTATGTATCTGAAGCGGTTGAACCCCAGCCATGTGGGCTGCCCGCAGATATTGGTAGTGTAAATAAGGGTTGATAATTGCAGCAGGAAGAGTAATTATGAATTAAATATAAAGAAACGGTTAGTTGTTGGTGCAATTTAATGCACGCATATTGGCTTATAAAAAAGCATGCGTGGGTGTCAAAGTTTTTCGTCGACAAGCCGTGTCTCCTGAAAACATACGAACATGATAGGACGTAGCAAGAGAGTTGTTTTGTTATCTTTGTTATGTCTTCATGCTTTCGTAGTGAGTGTTGTAATTGCAAGAGATGATGTGAGTGGGGACAAAAATGACGACAAGTTCCTTAGTAGCGAGAAGGGAGGAGGATTTGGTGCTGGTGGAGGCGCTGGGTTTGGTGGTGGAGTTGGTGGGGGGGCTGGTGGAGGTGGCGGGTTTGGAGGTGGTGGTGGTGGAGGTTTAGGCGGTGGCCATGGCATTGGTGGTGGTGTTGGTGGTGGGTTTGGTAAAGGTGGTGGAATTGGCGGAGGAGCTGGTGGTGGTGGTGGGTTTGGAGGGGGTGGTGGTGCTGGTGGTGGTGGTGGGATTGGCAAGGGTGGTGGATTTGGTGGTGGCATTGGAAAGGGAGGAGGATTTGGTGGTGGCATTGGAAAGGGAGGTGGACTCGGTGGTGGAATTGGCAAGGGCGGAGGACTTGGTGGTGGCATTGGCAAGGGTGGAGGACTTGGTGGTGGCATTGGAAAGGGAGGTGGATTCGGTGGTGGAATTGGCAAGGGAGGTGGACTCGGTGGTGGAATTGGCAAGGGTGGAGGCCTTGGTGGTGGAATTGGTAAGGGTGGAGGCCTTGGTGGTGGAATTGGTAAGGGTGGAGGCCTTGGTGGTGGAATTGGGAAAGGTGGTGAACTTGGGGGTGGGATTGGGAAAGGTGGTGAACTTGGGGGTGGGATTGGGAAAGGTGGTGAACTTGGGGGTGGGATTGGCAAGGGTGGAGGCCTTGGTGGTGGAATTGGGAATGGTGGAGGCCTTGGTGGTGGAATTGGGAATGGTGGAGGCCTTGGTGGTGGAATTGGGAATGGTGGAGGCCTTGGTGGTGGAATTGGGAAGGGTGGTGAACTTGGGGGTGGAATCGGAAAGGGTGGTGGACTTGGAGGTGGGATAGGTGGTGGTCCTGGAGAAGGAATTGGAAAAGGTGGTGGAATTGGCGGTGGTGCTGGAGGAGGATTTGGCAAGGGTGGCGGTATTGGTGGAGGCAGTGGTTTTGGAGGTGGAGCTGGTGGTGGTGCTGGAGGTGGAGTTGGTGGTGGAGGTGGGGGTGGAGCGGGAGGTGGCGGTGGAGCGGGTGGTGGGGGTGGATTTGGTGGTGGTTCTGGAGGAGGCTTTGGCAGTGGATTTGGAGGAGGAGCAGGAGGAGGCGGTGGCTTTGGAGGTGGTGGCGGATTTGGTGGTGGAGGCGGTGGTGGAATTGGACACCACTAAACAATGTCTTGCTTCATAATGCATGCATGCATGAAGTAACACACTAATAAGAAATCGAAACCAAATGTCCATTTAGCACATTATTATGTATCTTAAATTAATAAATTATATTTACATTACCATTACCATTGTATGGGAGATTTAGTTTGCTCCAGCAAAATTGTTGTTCCAATGTACCATTTGTATCATTCTGTTGACATTAATGCAATGAATCATCATTCGATATCTACACTCCCATCAATTTTAATCCTCTTTCATTTTCTTTCATCTTGATGTATTCTTGCTTGGTTCTATAAAAATTTGTTTCTATTCGCAAAGGGTTGTTAGTTGACTCCATAAATAAAATTTGCTTTTTGATGTAAGTTGAGGTTGGTTTTTTTTTTTTTTTTGGGGGGGGGGGGGTGTGGTGAGGAGTGGTTGACCGAGTGTAGCCCAAAGCTACAAATTTTCCCTACCAGTTTCTTCATTCATTTTTCATTTCTAGTAAAGTGTCTCCACAGACTCATATACAAAGCAGAAAGGTTCTGACTTTGAGTAAACTTTAGGGACGAGCTTGCTTTTATATATATGCTTCTGTCTTACACCACCAGCAATGGGTCAACATGAACTCCCCAAGAAACATGGGCAGATCTCCAATTATTTTAAAAGTCACTTTTCTGTTCTCTAACAAAGGACCAGAAAACATGGTTCTCAGCAAAAGAAATGGTGTTCAAAAGAAATGGTGTTCAAGATCTCTTCT